CGAAGTATTCTCACTGATTGCTGCCGATGTTTCTTTGAATGGTTTGAATTCCCGTACTCATTTGTTTTCAAATTTTGTAATTGTTGCTAATTGCTCTAATGCTTCAGGATTGAAACCCAAGATGTAATTCTATCGCAACATGCCGCCGAACGCCTAGTTGAGGTCGGTCCATCAGATACCCTGGGTGGAATGGCCCGACGTACCCTAGCCGCCAAATACGAAGCCTACGATGCTGCTCAATCGCTTCAGCGTCAGATTCTTTGCTACAATAAAGATGCTAAAGAGATTTACTACGATGTTGAGCCTGTTGAGGAGGAGGAAGAGAAGCCAACAGAAGCTTCATCAGCCCCTTCGGTCTCTCCTGCGCCTGCGGCAGGTGCTTCTCCTGTCGCAGTGGCTCCACCAGCTTCAACCGGTCCGGCAGTGGCAGTTGCAGATGAGCCAGTTCAAGCTGTAGACATTGTTCGATCTCTCATTGCCCAGAAGTTGAAGAAACAGCTTTCCGAAATTCCATTATCGAAAGCCATCAAAGATCTAGTAAACGGAAAGAGTACATTGCAGAATGAGATTCTCGGAGGTCAATTCCCTTCCATCACCGCAGTTTCCATTTCTTAGTTGTACTAACGAAACAGAAGTTCAGATTTACAAAAGGAGTTCGGAAACACACCCGAAAAACCGGAAGACACGCCTCTCGACGAGCTGGGAGTTGCCATGCAGGCAACCTTCAATGGGCAGCTCGGCAAGCAATCTAGCTCTATGGTTGCCCGCATGATCTCCTCTAAGATGCCCGGTGGTTTTAATATTACCACAGCAAGAAAGTACCTTACCGATCGCTACGGTCTACAGTCTGGCCGACAGGATAGCGCCTTGATGCTGGCTATAACAATGGAGCCCCCAGCGAGGCTAGGAAGCGAGGGTGATGCAAAGGCATTCCTAGATGATGTTGTAACAAAGTACGCTGCTAGCGCTGGGATATCACTCTCAGGTCCTGCTGCTGGAGGTGCTGCGGCTGGTGCTTCTGGTGGAATGATGATGGATCCTGCGGCAATTGATGCCCTGACCAAAGACCAGCGAGCTCTTTTCAAACAGCAATTGGAGCTGCTTGCCCGATATCTTAAAATGGATCTCCGATCAGGTGAGAAGGCGTTTGTGGGGTCACAAGAGGCCAACAAGCTTCTCCAGGCACAGATCGATTTGTGGAACGTTGAACACGGAGACTTCTACGCCTTCGGTATTGAGCCATCCTTCTCCCCGTTGAAGGTTAGAGTTTATGACTCGTCATGGAATTGGGCTCGACAGGATGCGCTTAACATGTACTTTGACATTATCTTCGGTCGCCTCAGGCTTGTGGATCGAGAGATTGTCTCGCAATGCATTCGAATTATGAACCGATCAAACCCCACTCTGGTGGAGTTCATGCAATATCATATCGACAATTGTCCGGCCGAGCGTGGTGAAACATATCGCCTAGCGAAGGATCTCGGTTATCAGCTTATTGCTAACTGCCAGGAAGTTCTTGGGACAGCTCCGGTGTACAAAGATGTTCAGTATCCAACCGCGCCGCAGACCACAATTGATGCCAAGGGTAATATGAAGTATTCTGAAGTACCGCGGCCGGCCGTTCGGAAACTTGAACACTATGTCAAAGAAATGGCCGCCGGAGGAAAGCTTACTGAATATGGTAACCGAACTAAAGTTCAGAACGATTTAGCCAAGGTCTACAAGCTCATCAAGCAACAACACAAGCTTTCTAAATCGGCTCAGCTGCAAATCAAGACCCTCTATGCGAATATCTTCCGCAGTTTGGCCATGAATGAAGCTCAGATGTTTGCAGAGGATTCAAAGACAAACAAAAAAATTGGAGGCAAAAAGGCGCAATCCCCTGGAAAGGGTCGCGTCGAGTGCATTCCATTCCTCCATTTGAAGAGAAAGGAGGACAATGGATGGGAATACTCTAAGAAATTGACTGGAGTGTATTTGGATTGTTTGGAACAAGCCGCCCAGGTAAGCATTATTTGTACGATTGACTACACAGCTTTACTAACATACTTTCAGTCTGGTGTCACTTTTGAAAACAGAAATGTTTTGATGACTGGTGCCGGTGCCGGATCTATCGGAGCGGATGTTCTGCAGGGCCTCATTAGTGGTGGCGCCAGGGTTGTCGTTACTACTAGTCGATTCTCGCGTGAGGTAACGGAATATTACCAGGCCATGTACTCCAAGTTTGGATCACGTGGCTCTCAGCTGATTGTTGTGCCGTTCAACCAAGGTACGCATTTCGTACTATGATTTATATTCTAAAACTAATGAATTCACAGGAAGCAAACAGGATGTCGAGGCCCTTGTTAATTACATCTATGATGAGAAGAACGGCCTTGGTTGGGATCTCGACTATGTCGTTCCTTTCGCTGCCATTTCCGAAAACGGCCGTGAAATTGATGGAATTGACTCCAAGTCAGAGCTCGCCCATCGCATCATGTTAACCAATTTGCTCCGTCTCCTTGGCATGGTTAAGACCAATAAAGCTTCCCGTGGCTTCGAAACACGCCCCGCCCAAGTTATCCTACCTCTATCTCCCAATCATGGCACATTCGGTAACGACGGTCTCTATTCCGAATCCAAATCGGCCCTAGAGGCGTTGTTCCAAAGATGGCATTCGGAGTCTTGGGGAAGCTACCTTACCATCTGTGGCGCTATCATCGGCTGGACCCGCGGTACCGGTCTTATGGGAGCGAATAATTCCATCGCCGAGGGTGTTGAGAAGTTGGGTGTACGCACATTTTCTCAGCAGGAGATGGCCTTTAATCTTCTTGGTCTTATGGCGCCTGCGATTGTCGATATCTGCCAAATTGAGCCTGTGTTCGCCGATCTTAATGGTGGCTTCCAATATATCCCTAATCTGAAGGATGTCTGCGCCCAACTCAGGCAAAACCTCTTAGAAACTTGTGAAGTTCGTAAAGTGGTTACGGCGGAAACTTCTATAGAGCATAAGATCGTCAACGGCGAAGTTTCAGAGAAACTTTATCAAAAAGTTACCATCCAACCCCGTGCCAACATGAAATTTGAATTTCCCGAACTACCTGACTACAAAAAGGAGGTTGAGCCACTGGCACAAAACCTACGTGGAATGGTTGACCTTGAAAAGGTGGTTGTTATTACCGGTTTTGCCGAAGTTGGGCCATGGGGTAACTCCCGTACTCGATGGGAGATGGAGGCATACGGCAAATTTTCGCTTGAGGGGTGCATTGAAATGGCCTGGATCATGGGCCTTATTAGGCATTTTAAGGGGCCTATCAAGGGTAACCAGTACACTGGTTGGGTTGATGTCAAGACCGGCGAACCCGTTGAGGATAAAGATATAAAGCCCAAGTACGAGAGATACATCCTGGAGCATTCCGGCATCCGACTCATCGAGAGTGATTTATTCAACGGCTACGATCCGAAGAAGAAGGAGCTTCTCCAAGAGGTCGTGATTGAGCATGATCTGGAACAGTTCGAAGCTAGCAAAGAGACTGCCGAGGAATTCAAGAGGCACCATGGCGATAAGGTCGAGATATTTGAGATCGCGGACTCTGGAGAGTACACTGTTCGTGTCAAGAAGGGTGCTATCCTGTTCATCCCGAAAGCCTTGAAGTTTGATCGTCTTGTGGCGGGCCAAATTCCAACTGGGTGGGATGCGAAGAAGTACGGAATCCCCGATGACATTATCGATCAGGTTGACCCGGTCACTCTTTACCTCTTGGTATGCGTTGTCGAATCGCTCTTGGCCGCAGGTATCACCGACCCTTACGAGTTCTACAAATATGTTCATTTATCGGAGGTTGGAAACTGTGTCGGCTCTGGTGTTGGCGGTATGACCGCGCTGAGAGGAATGTACAAGGATAGGCATATGGACAGGCCTATCCAGAAGGACGTTCTTCAGGAATCCTTCATCAATACCATGTCTGCATGGGTCAACATGTTGCTCCTTTCTTCCACCGGTCCCATCAAAACACCCGTAGGTGCATGTGCCACGGCTGTTGAGTCGCTTGATATCGGTTATGAGACGATCGTTGAAGGCAAGGCCAGAGTGTGCTTTGTTGGTGGCTTCGATGATTTCCAGGAGGAAGGCTCCTACGAGTTCGCCAATATGAAGGCAACCAGCAACGCCGAGGAGGAGCTGCTGCATGGAAGAACTCCTCAAGAAATGTCCAGACCTACAACCACTACGCGTAGCGGCTTCATGGAATCTCAAGGATGTGGTGTCCAACTTATCATGACAGCAAAGCTTGCTTTGGAGATGGGTGTTCCTATTTACGGTATTGTTGCTCTTACCGCTACCGCCACTGATAAGATTGGAAGGAGTATCCCCGCACCCGGACAGGGTATCCTTACCACCGCACGCGAAACTAGCAGCAGATTTCCGAGCCCACTCCTCAACATTAAGTACAGACGGAGACAGCTCGAACTCAGAAAATCCCAGATCAAGCAATGGACTGAGAGCGAGCTCCTATACCTTCAGGAGGAGGTTGCGGCGATGAAGGCTGAGAAAGTTGACTTTGACGAGAACGAGTATATGCAAGACCGTGCCGGCCATATCGAGCGAGAATCGCAAAGACAGGAACGAGAAGCCCTCAATGCCTGGGGCAACGACTTCTGGAAGCAGGATCCTCGTATTGCACCATTGAGAGGAGCCTTGGCCGTGTGGGGCTTAACCATTGATGACTTGGGCGTTGCTTCTTTCCACGGAACCAGTACGAAGGCAAATGATAAGAATGAGTCTGATGCGATTAACAAGATGATGATGCATCTTGGCCGGCATAAGGGTAATGCAGTCCTCGGTATTTTCCAGAAATACCTCACCGGACATCCCAAGGGTGCCGCCGGCGCTTGGATGATGAACGGAGCCATACAGGTCTTGAACTCGGGCCTTGTTCCCGGTAACCGAAATGCGGACAACGTCGACAAAAGTCTTGAACAATTTGATTACATCGTGTACCCAAGCCGTAGCATCCAAACCGATGGTGTCAAGGCATTTTCGGTCACTTCGTTTGGTTTCGGTCAAAAGGGTGCCCAAGCCATCGGCGTTCACCCCAAATATCTCTTCGCCATCTTGGATGAGCAAACTTACGAAACCTATCGTGCCAAGGTCAATTCCCGGTACAAGAAAGCTTACCGATACTATCATACTTCCTTGGTGGAGAATAATCTGTTCCAGGCCAAGAACGATCCTCCGTATTCCCCAGATCAGGAATCTCAAGTCCTGCTTGACCCTCTTGCCCGTGTACAAGCGGACAGAAAGACCAACAGCTATACCTACCCTGCCCAGATCCAGAAGAAGCGGCCTGATCCTTCGGTAGAGAACACCAGAAAGCTCGTGGAACATCTAGCATCAGCAACTGCCGGCGAAAATAGTAAGATTGGGGTAGACGTTGAGCTAATCTCCAGCATCAATATTGATAATGAGAACTTCATCGAACGCAACTTCACCCCAGCCGAGCAGGAGTACTGCCGAAAGGCTCCCAGCCCACAAGCTAGTTTCGCAGGTAGATGGAGTGCTAAGGAGAGTGTGTTCAAGGCGTTAGGAGTTTCCAGCAAGGGTGCTGGTGCTCCGTTGAAGGACATTGAGATCCTCAGTGATGACAAGGGTGCACCAATTGTTGTGGTATGTTTTTAGCCTTTTCCCACCCTATTTCACGCTTCATCGCTAATTCACCTACAGTTGCATGGCGACGCCAAGGAAGCAGCCGAAAAGGCTGGTGTGAAGGGGGTTCAAGTATCGATCAGTCATAGCGATGCGCAGGCAATCGCGATCGCAGTGTCGAGCTTCTAGATGCATGGGGTTTCTTCGGTTTCTTGATTTTGTTTCGCTATTTCCTTTCCTAATTTTATTTCCTAATTTTATCATGATTACGAATACCAGTGTGTGTAATGATTCTCTTTGTATGGGATGCATGGGGCGGTAAACTTGTCAATGGGAATGGGTATTCACCGGGGATATTAAAATAGAGCTCTCTTATCATAGGTATTTTCTTGCTAATATCAAAAAGTCTATCTGATGTCCCGCTTCTTCCGGAACTTTTGCGATATCTGTGGGTGCTGGGGACAACGCTTAGGCAGCGGTAGCGCAAGTACCAGTATCGTACTAACGCGCGTTGGTTGGGTATGGTACTCTTGAGTTCCAAAGATATCTGGACGCCTTGGCGCCAAGGTTCTGGGCTTTGGTGAGCCTTGGCATAAGGTGTCGGGACAATTGTGAAATTTGCGAGTACGAGTACAAAAGGCGTCGCTTGGCGGGGCTTAATTTGTGAGTGAGATTTCTAAAAAAGAAAAACACAGCTGAGCCCTGAGCCCGCGCAGTGCTTAATCCGACATCACTAATACGGCTGAAGGACGTCATCGCATTTCTACCTCCCGGTTCAATACGACACAATAGGGAGGTTCGAAGTTCTCGGGAGATGGAAGGTAGACTATCGTACAGGTGTTTCGATAGAGGCGTATTTCCTGGAAAATACGATACATTGTAAAACCTTTTGGCAAGCAGGTATTCAGCATACCAGGTCCAGAGGTACAGTACAGTACAGTACTTTGTCCGTAGTGCTAGACAGAAAAAGGTAAAAAGCAATATATTTTTCATACTACAGTACTGTAATGCTCGTACTGTAGTGCCGACCTTCCTATTCCTTTCCGGCCAAGATGATGGCATCTAGAATGCGTGGAAAAGTCAGCTGACACACTTGTCATAGTGGCAGTTTATATCATACTCGAGTACGAGTACAGGTGACATTCAAAGCGGTACGCCTGTATTCGTGCAGTATGTTGTGTGCTCGGTTTGAGTTGCACTGAGAACATCGAACCTCCCCATTACAATATTTCGCCGAGCTCGCGGTCGCGCAACACCGCATGCCCGTACTGCTCTCCGGAAGCTACGTAGCATCCCAAATACCCACTCGAGTATCGTACCTTACACGTTCACCCCAATTCCGATTCCCCCCGACCAGCGGGGGCCGGCCTTGGAGTCTACAACCTGGCAACTGCGGTGACAGATTACGAGTAAGGATGACAGTCAAGTCAGCAAGTGGTTAGGCTGTGGGGGGTAGGGGGGGTCACAATGGCGTTAAGGTACTTGGAGTTGCTGTTGGGATTCCAGCCGACTAACTTGTCATACCGAATGGGCAGCCCTACACGAAAACCTCTCTACGTATGATACCGAAACCTCCATGGAGGAACACCGGCGGTGCCGGCTGGGGCAGTTGTATCCGGAAAGGACGGGTACGGACCACAAAAGACCGGGTCGTCTAGGACGGACGAAGAGGGAAAGAAAAACACGGGCTTGACGCGCCGTGCCCTTAACTCTGGTGCGGCGATCAACTTTTCGGATGATAGACTCCCAATACGAGTAGGACTTAGCGGAAGGAACTTAGGTTGACCCCACTGTGAGCCACCCGATATTACGGGGATGCGGTAGCTCTGACGCCTTGCTTGTGATAATGGCCGGGTCGAAACTATATAAGTCTTCGTTGTGTTCAACTGCCTTGCCACCAGCGCGCCCCAGGACCTACACAACGATATCTTTCGTCTATCCATACGATCTCAATCTAAAGCCCCAATGGTAATGACAATCCCCCCCCTGCCCACATCCATCAGATTATATTCAATAACCATGCGGGTTTGCCTTGACTAACACTCGAATTCAGATAAAGGAAATAGTCTTGCTCGTGGATGGCATCTGGATGCTGAACGTTGCTATACAAACATGGCAGTGGAATAGGGATAGGGCAGGGGTACCCGATTATTGATCTGGTATTAAAGCCCGCGTGAGGAGCGGGGGTTGGTGAGGAACGATAATGGCAGAGAGTAGTATTGGGCTGTGTCACATAGACTAATACAAGGAACGCCACTACTGGCGTTATTAGAGCGAGGCAAATGAGAGCAGGTAATATCGAGTTCGCACTTCTGTAATACAGTTGATTCCTGTCTCTGAACAAATAATATCAACTATATTAATTGAAAGTAAAGATAAAATGCGCCCATCCGGAGGTACTGCCCCCTTGTAGGGGATGTTTCGCTAGCACTTTTGGCGGAGTGAATTTGGCCCAGTAGCGCGAGGCGCAGTGAACCAAGTACAGTATACTCGAGTACTTAAATCTCGAGTGGGCATTACAGAGCTCGTTACCGATGTGGGCTCTGGGCTGGAGAGTAATAGTGGTTTGTCCGTTTGTTGGTGCCTTCCTCCGGGATTCTACTCCATTCCATGATTTGTCTGTAGAAACTGAGTATCATACAATGAGAATACGCAGTTGGCACTGGACTGGGGGGGGGGGGGGTAAAGGGCATGGGAGAAGCCGCCTTTGTAAAAGGTGGTCGCTCTCAAATGGTGAAGAAAAAAAGTAACTTATTGTATGATACCATAGTAGACATTGAGTGCACTGTTGTCGACCCTACTCGAATACGGAGGACAGCCTATGTTTTGTACTGTACATTCCGCTAGCAAGGGTTGCCGCTCTAGCAGTATCAGCAAATTGAATCGGGTAACTTATGGTGGATCTCGGGTAGTTTTGTCGATAACTATGGATCATTAATTCACCAGTACGAGTGCGGTACAGTACTCGCACAGGAGTGACCACTCAGTTACCGTAAATGGCAGTTCTATGAAAAAGAGGGAGAAGAAGAAAAAAAACTTTCACTAACGACTCACTCCACCATACGAGTACAGTACTCGGTTCACTACGCCTCGCACTAGAGTACCAAATTCGCTGCGCTAGCACTTCTAGCGCAGCATCCCTCCTAGCGGAATGTACGAGTACTGTACAAAACTTATGGGCTGTATGATACCTCCGTAATTGTTGCTGTAGGTATCATAATGTCATGATATCATAATTATGACAGTAATCCCGATAAGGCACTGCAGGTTTTACCCTCTGTAGCACCCGCTAGACTGCGGAGCCTGGACTGGCCGGAAACCGGCCGGGTATGATATGATAGTTATGCGCCAGGGCTAGTTCGGTACTATATTTACCTGTCTGGTACGAGATGGCGGAACGGCGGAGCATCATATCGTACCCGTACGGACGCGGCCACGAAGAAAGGAAGCTATGAATCGCCGGTAACGAGACACCACCGATATAATTTATACTGTTTTACGGTACGACTAAGGTCACTCGTGTATGGGGATTCTCCCGAATTCCATAATTATAATAAACTTGTAATATATAAGGTATGATACCCGTGAACCCATTGAGTTATGATTACGGTAGTACTGCGCCACCACATCCCGGATCCCGCATCCTCCTCCGTGGCTATCTATGCAGACTAGTACGCGAGGGAACAAAAAAGAAAAAGCCCCCCAGCATAATGACGAAAAACCGTTGTCGGTGAGAGAAGTCCTACTCGAGTATAGTGTGTGGGTGTGTTTTGAGCTTCCGTTAGGAATCACACTCGCGCGTAATAATACGGTGGATATAGTCTAGATGGATAGCGTGGGAAATAGAATGAATAAGTTATGATATGACAAATGGAACCAATGCCAGAGCAGTCCGGACCCGAACCTTCTGGTGAAAGAGGGGGCGCAAAAAAGCACTCCAAAAGAAGAAAGAAACCCTTTGCTCTCCGGGATATATAAGGTAGGAAAAGGCTTCATATGAAACCTTGAGAACCTGGGTGGGTGAGAGGTCCAACGTCCTAGAACTAAGTTCCGTTTATTCAAGTTCTCCTAAGCTATCCGTATTGAATGGGTAATGCCCACCTTCGATCCTTTGAACAAAAAAGAAAAAAACATTGCGTATGCGGGGAGAGTAACTTGGTGCGTTGGAAAAAAGCTGTCCGCTTTCTGGGGATAAGGTAAGTTGGCTGTGCCTGTGTAAAGTTTGACTGACATCATGAGGTGGTACTCGATTTCGGGCCGACTGCTTAAAAAGTATCATAATATTATCATCATACATATCATTTGTAAAAAGAAATTATTAATTTTTCTGTACTCGAGTAGAGTAGTGTAGTCTTGAGATTTCCCCCCATTCCTGTCATTGAACACCAACTCTAGTTGAGCGACACGTATTGTAGGATTCCGCTTCGGTATGGAGCGTTTAGTGCTAACCCCAAGAATCGATGTGCAATTCCCCCCCACCCGCGAAAGAGTCGGATACGCGAAACCTCTTGCGGTGGAAACGTTCCAAGTACTAGTGAAACAAGCGGGATTCTTTCGGAAACGATACGAGGGACCTAAAAAACCGCATGGGGGAGTACGAGTTCTGGCAGTGTCTGCTCGGGGTAGACGAAGCTCTAGACTCTGGCACAACCTGCTTATTCATCGCTTCAGCCCTTTTTCAAAATTCCTCATCCCCGACCGCATGCTGGCGGAACGAATTCACCAATACACGTCCCATGCGGGGACGCCTCTGGACGGGGGTGGGAGAGAGAAAATACCACCGATGACGGGGGCAGGTTTGATACACTATCGATGCGGGCCTCAATCTCACGCACTGAACCATGACCGCTCTTTGGAATAGGTTTTTTTCTTCTTCGGCACTCTTTAAACAGTTACAACCTAGTGGTGCAGAAATGACAGCAAACTTTCAAGAAAGCCAGTATCGGTGAAGTTGTACTTTTCTCTAGTTGTCAGTACCTACAAATATTATCGTACATTTCATTTTGTTCGATTCTGTTGCGTATCCTGGTGTCGGACGGTTAAAAGAGCCGGTGGTGAGGTCGGACCAAGAGATTGAGTCACTCAAGAGCAAGCCAATTTTGGGGAGGTTAAGAGCGAAAGTACTGGTGATGCAAAGAATCAACGTTTGAAAGGAGTGCTCTGTGCGGCGGACAAATGCCTGATTTAGCAAGTGGTACGAGTAATCATTGGCGATGGGCCTCCCGAGCAATCAACCCTGAAATACGCCAGAAATACTACCCCATCTCTCGCTGGGCGGTGGTAGTGGGTTCCTGCAATTGGGTTATTGGGACCGCTAATCAACCACTTGTCCAAGTAGCCGAGCAGAGAGAGCTATCATAAATGCACCCCCATACAGCCTGATATGCAGATATAGAGAGGTTTACGCAGAAAACTGACCACAACGCACGCTGATACCACGCATACCCCCCCAAACCCACGAAATATCCCTCGCACCGGAGATCCCACTAGAAAGCCTTGGGTGGCAGTTGGGCCTCTTGTCTCTACTGGTGGAACTCGTGACGTTGAGCATCTCAACTTTATCCTCCAAGCCAGCCAGCAGCAAGAATAACGCGCCAAATGTACCCCCCCCCCCCGAACTTTGCATATATATATATCCTTCGGCATGACGCTCAGGTTCGGAGGCTCCGGAAATCAGTCGTACATCCGGTTTGACATCTTGTGCCCGTTGAGACCGCGGAGTGAAAATGATTTGCCATAGATCGTATGGGAAGGAGAAGATATAGCAGTAATGACTGGACCTTGTTGTGGAAGTTGGAGAGTAGGCGGCGGGGAGTCGGATTCCGATTTACCACTGACCGTATTGCCCACCCTCGAGTAGTTTAGTGGTTTGCTTAAACCTTACCGGTTTCTCTAAACTTACAGCATCACCTACTCTCGCTCTTGCTTCCCACCAGGGGGAATACAGAACATGACTAGCCGTGAACGTTGAGAGGTTTTTTCCTCCCTTCCCATTTTGAGGAAGCCCGGAGCTATGGGTCCCAAAGATCGTCAAGCCCCTCGCCTCGTGTGACCCCCGGCGCCGCTATCCTGGAAAATTATCCCTCGGTGGTTGTGATGCTGTGCCTAATGTTGTGTGGCGGCCCAAAATCATATGGTGCATGATATGTCGATCGCGAGCGATACCTAAAACTATTCCTAATGGGACAGCCCGGGCGTCCGAGGGTAGGAGGGGGCGGATTAAGTCTCCCCATCCGTCCCCTTCGGGCGTCGCGAAGCCTATGCTAGAGCTGCTAAAGACAGGGGGAGTAATATCCCGGGAGTCTCTTTCAATACGACAAACTGCGTCAGTTGTCAGAAGCCCCTGCTGTCCTTTATATTGCGTGGGAAAAATAATCCCTTCGCCTTGACGTACCGCTCCATATACAGCCTGCGGTAAAAAAAAAAAAAAATCTGAAAATGTAGAACGAATTGTCAGAAACACAGTTGCTCAATCGGCCAAGCACACTGAAAGCTGTTGTTAAAGGTGCTTCCAAGAGGTTTCGTCTTGTGCGCCATGTAAGGTGGAAGAAAGGCCCGAGCCGCTTTAAGGGCGAATTCTTTATTCTTTCTTTCTCTCTTTGTTGTGGTGAAAGTAGTTGACAGAATGCTTATTTTCTTTTTTCTTTTTTATATAAGCATTGGTTTTCCTCCCCCCTCCGTATGAAGAGAATAATCAAGATTATATGGCTCTTCTGAACAACAAAGGCTCCAATCAAACCCCCAGAAGTATTTTCGTCGTTTTCCGCTTTTTTTACTTATAGGTGCGAGTATTTGGGATATCGTTGAGCTCATACTGTAGCTGGAGACGTATCGTCTTTAGCGGCTTCTGGTTCTTTAGCGGCTTCTGGTTTTTGTCGGAATGTACTCGAGTACCGTTGGAGCCGGTACTCCTATCGACACGGGTGCAGTACCACACACGGTTTTCCGAGGGACTGCGGGGAGCGCGGGACCGAAATGGATGACTTGCGCGGCGCATGCAGGTCGTAGCGCCTCAGAACAGCCGGTTTGATGTCGGACGGCGGCACTGGCGGTTCGTGCGGTACGTCCGAGCGTCGGAGTAAAGCTATTAATCATAGCAACACAGCGGTGGGAAAGATGCACGATTGAGCGATAATATGAGTGACGTTTCATGAGTCCGGCACTTCCAAATCTATTCCGAGAATGGAAAAAACGGGTACGATAGAGTGGTTTTCCTGGTTTACTGGTCTCCAGATTCAAGCTCTTCTGCCTAGCAACAGACTTCTGAAATTTA